GTTTAGATGAAAGAACAATCGCTACATCGCAAAGCACACCATACCAGGGATTGCGTTAAAACGGGCGCAATACCTTACTTTTACGCAATTTATTTCTTTCGTGACTTGAAAAATCAATAAATTATATTCATGAAATTGTGAAATCTGCCTAAGAATTAGCTTTGCAGTCTCAAAATTACAACCGACACACAGTGGGTCGCGTCAATAGAAGAGGTCGGACAAAATTCGGGAACTTTAAACGCTTATAACTCCGTTAATACAAAACTTTCTGCGACAAGCACCCCTTCAAATTTAAAATAAGACGAAAGAAACATCAAAATTTGCAGTTTAAGTCTAAAACTTCATTTCCAACCTCTCTGATGCCTCTCTATTCTCTGTGCGACGGGTTCCAAAATCATTTTGATGAAGGGTGAATGGCGTATCGACGGCGTGAGTCCGCTGTTACCTATCTCTTTTGCGGTGTCTGAAAATCTCCGCTTCTATGTTATTTTCTTAAAAAAGAACAAATGGACATCATTCCTTGAAGTTTATGCAGAATTTTCTTTGCGCACAGAGAAGAAAAATCACGGCAGTTGTAAAGAATTGCCTATGAGTAGTTTTCGGTTTAAAAAAATAAAGTATGACACACTGAAAAAAAAAAGTTCGGTAAATTATGGAACCACGATCTTGTTCGATACACACGACCGAATTATTCGGTCTGCTCAGCCGGTTTGTTCGGTCCACTGAACCGAACTGTAAGATTTTATTATGGTTCGGTCGCACAAACCGAACAATTCGGTTGAACAGACCGAATAATTCGGTCGTGTGTACCGAACAAGATCGTGGTTCCATAATTTACCGAACTTTTTTTTTCAGTGAAGTCTGCGACGTCGCAAACCGAGTTATGTGATTGCCGACTTACACCGTCGGTATGTATCTATTTACCCAGTCAATATCTAAGACACTAAGCAAAACAGGGTAAGATACGGCAAGTATGAATGACCCATTTAGAAACAAATTAGGTGACTGATCCGGAGTAAAGTCCAACTTGAAATCCCGAGTCCTGAATCCCACTTTAACTCGACTCCCTTTTTCTGCTCTTTTTTTTTGACCAGGCTCCTTGTAATTAATCTCGTTGGATAATTGTCGTTCTTGACAAAAGAATAATTGATTGAGACGGACATCCGTCGCGTCCGTCCACTCGGGTCTCTTTGTATCCTATCCGGACTATTTTTCACTCACTTCTTGTCGAAGATACTCGATGAACGTCGGACCCTGGATTTTAAGAAACACTGCTGCCAATTTCAAGGCAGAAACGTCAAGATGAATGCTAGATACGTACACTGCCGTGATAGTGAAGAGAGCCGCAGCTTTCAAATTCTCAAAAACGGGTTTCCTACAAAATTCGTATAATCTCTTTTAGATGTAGAGAGAACCCTGGACCTTAGACCTAGAAAGTATAGTCCAGTGTGTCTACGGGAACAGGCAGGCCAAAAATCAGTGCTTTACAGTACTTTTTCAGTATATATTTCCAAGAAAGCAAGTACCTCCTCGACAGAAAAATTCAGTCCTTTTTCAGTGCCTCCATTTCAACAATTCAATTGTTAAAAAAAGTGATTTCGGCATTTCACAAGTACATTTTACAATAGTGAAAAGCTACTTTAACCACGGGGTGGTTAAATTAGAATTTTTTTAGCATTTTAAAATCTACATTGAAACATTGCAATCGCTTATTTTAACAAAAAAAAATTGTTATATCAGCAATTTAATATTTTCCGTGAGACAAAATTTGAAAAATCTCGAAAATTTGAAATTCTCGCTCGAATTGGGACAAAAATGACGCAGATACAATATTTCATTCTAGGTTTGAAGATTAACACTACACAATCGCGATCTTGGGGGCAAATGCTACTATAAGAATCAAACGCGCAGGGGATTGCATACCATATCCAGGCTTAACTAATTAAAAAACACGCGTGGTATGAAGGAAAAATTCCTGACCCTCTTGAGGAATTTCCACAATTTTTCAGTACTTCCGGACCACCCTTAAAAAATCAGTACTTTTTCCGGAAAGTCCGGAAATTTTGGACCAGTAGATACCTTGTGAAGAAAGCCATACTGCCGCGCTAAGGAAATGCGCCGTATGAATCTTCGGGCGCTGCCAAATTTCCTACAGTAAAAAACCAATTTCCCAGTGCATTTATGTGCACCTTGTGCTTCTTCCCATTTTCAGGTATTTTCGTTCGGAATTTTAAAGTTCTTGAAACTATCAAGGAAAAATATTCATGACATTCGTGAAAATTAAACATTTTATCGAGGGAAATTTGGCAATTCTCAAATGTACATACGACGTATTTCCTTAGCATGGCAGCGTAGCTCTCATATTTTTGAAATTGGGTTTCCTTCAAAATTCGTCTAACCTCTTTTAGACGTAGAGAGAATCTTAGACGTTAAAAAGTCTAGTCAGAGCTCTTCTAGGGGCGGTATAACAGTGATAAAAATAGTCGACTGCCGCCAGTTCTTCCAGACTTCCCACTTAACAGCGGAAACAAAGTCGAGAAAAGCGAGCCTTACTGGCACGCTTAAAAACACGAAAAGGCACACATATGATTACTCCTACATACCATGAGCACGGAGCTAATTAGCGGAAAAAATGAACACAAAAATGAATCAATAAAAAGGAGCACAGATCGGTCCCGAAGCGAAATTAAACGGATTTTACTGGCAATAAGTAATAAAAACGGCTCCCATTACCGACTCATTTAAAAAGTTTAGCGATGGATAAAAGCTCAAAAGCTTCAAGTTTACGGTGAAAACAGTGTTGCCACGATCGTTTCGAATTATGGCTGAAATCCTGAAGAATACTGGACTTCATCAGATATGGTAGATTGCCATAAAGCTTGTACATTTAACCACATATCGATGGCTGTACACAAAAACAACTTATCTTCGATTACGTCGTCGCAAACTTTGAAGAAGATTTAATCGCTTATAAACTTTTAATGCATCACTAAAACTTCATATCAAAATGCTATGCAATCGTATGAAGATGTCTAGGTGCATGAATTATTGTGATGTAAGCCACATAATAGAATCATCACATTCTGATCAAATGCTAAACTTTGATTACTTAGCTTCTGCGAGCTGATTATTTAAATTGATAGACAAAGAGGACAAGGGGAAAATAAAGGGATCCCATCGGTTCAAACGGGTGGTTGTTATAAACTAGGGGAAAAAATGATGGACCAACCATTGAGTCCGTGGGTTGCCGGTGGTTAGTCCAAAATTTTACCCCGTTGTAAATAGTAAAAATCACCTCACTTCCACCAATAGGATCGCTCCATCTTTTGTTTGTCTTTTTTATCTATGGCTTGTCTATCAATTTCAATAATCAGCTCACTGTTCGGTCTCAACAAAATATAACAAACTTCTTTCCGACTAACTGGAGGCCTCCATCGTCGCATGACAATCCAACGAAGAGGCAATAGCGGACGCAAACAGAGACAGAACCAGAAGAAGAAAAAGAAGAAGGAGAGGCAGAAGGAGAGGCAGAAGGAGAGACAGAAGGAGAAGAAGAATAGTAAAAAAATAAAATAAGAAGAGGAAGAGGAGATAAAAAGAAGAGGAGGGGAGACAAAGGATAAATGGGAAGAAAATAAGGAAAAGGAAGGAAGAAGATGTAAAAGATGAAGGACATTAGAGAAAGATAAAATAGAGAGGGAAAGAAGAGAAGAAAAAGGATGAGAAAGGAAATATTCGTGTTCCTCTTCTTTTGCTTCTCTTTCATCTCTTTCTTTCTCTTCTTTCCCCTTTTTCTTTTCCTTCTTGTTTCTTCTTTTATTTCCTTCTCTACTTGGTCTCGATTTATTTTCCTCTTCCTTTTCCGATTTCCAGTGCGTCCAAATGTGGCATTATGTCAGAAGTCCTTTGATCTGAGTCCGTCCGATTAGGGTTAAATCAAAATAAAAATTAAAAATAAAAAATTTCAAATTTCAGACGACTTGACAACAGCGACAGAGCTGTCGTGTTTAAGACTCGAAAGAGGAGAGGTTGAACGCGCTCATGCCCGTGCCGGGGCATTAATGAGCTTTTGTAAAACAAACAAACCGCTTACGCGATAAGAACTTGAACATCTTGAGCCGCAGCAGTTACCGGCGATTTCAACTTTTTCCCCTTTTTCTGGCGTCAGGTGCCTTTACCTGATCCCGCCGATTGCAACGAGATGAGACGATATATTTCGCTAGATCGATGAAAGGCAACGAACATACTAGACAGATGCTTAAGTTTAAAGATACGCTATCATCCAATCCTGCTCGGTTATTCAACGTAATAATAATTTCGGTTTTTAACGCACCACATTTCATCGCTCTTGCGAGGTTAGCAAACTGGTTTGGAGGAAGGTTGCCTGGTTTCTGCCAGATTCGTCGTTTCCGGGACGAAGGAACGGAACTCCATTCTAGGGTTGCCAAATTGGACGTATTTCTGTCAAACGGAACTATGTGCAGTAAGACATGAGCCCTGAGACCCATGAGAGTATGTGCATAACAGGGCTCATGTCATAATGCACATAGTTCCGTTTGATAGAAATACGTCCAATCGACCTAAACAAATCGAGTTTTTACGAGAATGTATCCGCGCAAATTTTTTCCAAAATTGTTCTGATATTTGAATGAGATCAGATGAAAAATAACAATGAAATTTTCAGTTAGATACGCCCAGGATTCTACATTTAAAATTGCAATATACTGGAGAAATTTGGCAACACTGAGATGTAGTTACGTTTTTTCGTGGAAAAGGAACGATGGATCGCAGTCTTAGAAGTAGATTGCATTTTCATGAAATCTTTGTCCATGATTTCGTATGAGGCAATTTTTTGCTTAGGTTGAAATATCTTGTTGCAAAACTTTCAAAATAAGCAACTAACATCAAACTTGATGGAATATGTGTGCATGCAGTGAATAATAATCAAATCTTACAATTTTGTATCGACTTCCAAAACTGAGTAACGAAGGATGGCTTACCTTGTAAGTGCCGAGATTTTTCACCGAACAGGAAAGTTTCACGTTCCTGCCAGCGGACACGGTTACATTTTCTATAGCAGCTATAAATTCTGGCTCCTCAGTCACAACTGAAACAAATCCAAAAGTAAAACTTCGTTAGTAATAAGAACTGGATCACTGACAAAAAGTTTATTCATAAACCTATTTATAAAGTTTATTTAGGTGCTTTGAATAACCATCAAAATTTCTTGCTTGAACATTTTACTGGGAAAAAAAATAATGATAATGATTTCCAAATTATAAAAAAGCTGAAATGTCTAACTTTGCGCCATACCGATTGATCTTCCATTTAAACCTACGGCGAAAGATCGATATATACGTTTTTCGCAATGAACACCTTAATAATCGATCCTTTAACATAGCTTCAAATGAGAATATATCGATAATCGATCAATCACGTTTTGCCACTACTAACTTTCCTAACCTTCCTTACTCCCTCACTTCGTGGCTTCCTTCCCTAACTTTGTTATGTAGTTGCGCATGGATATCGCTCAGACCGTACCACAGATAACGATCCCTAACGCGTGTGACCAACAAATACGATAATGTAAGCCATTTCGGCTAGTTACCCAGACAGCTTTTTCTTTTTTTTTCGAAAGTTTTCGAGCATAGACGACTGCATATGCAAAATACGGCCGAGATTTGAAAGAATCATGGAGACGAGAGAGAGGCAATCACCCTCTTTTCGGGCACGCTAAGCTTCACGAAACCATAATGCATTTGAAAAGAGTCAAATCGCCAAGATCTTAATACATCACGTGGGGGCATAAACGATATTTTTTACGCTACATTCGGCAACGCCCGAGCTTTGATTCCGAACTTCAAAATAGGGATTCCTCATCGATCAGACTCGGCCACGCTTTTCTAAGTCGACTTTCGAGCTTACGAAAAAAGTTTCGCGCAAACATAAACAGTAAATGGCTCCTGACAGCCACAGATCTGCGGGAGTTTATTCGGTGGCTCCGAGCAGAGAAACTTTAATAATTCAGCTCCGAAGGAAATTTGAAATGCTGGGGCAAATCGAAGGAGGGAGCTTCGAGGGAAATCCATTGACAGATTTACGGAATAGAGGGCTTAGCGTATCCGAGGCGAATAATGCATGCATAAACGGGGAGGAAGCAGGTCAGATCTCGGGGAACCTCTTGACCACGCAGGTCGCGAGACGTTAAAACGTGCGGTTCGATGACTGGGCTTTAAAGCTTTTGCTCAAATTTTCACGTTCCAGAGGTGTGGTGATTGAGAATGAGTCCGGAACATTTATAGTGGGCCTGTTGTAAACTTCAGCTAGAGAAAAAATAAAAGTTGTTTCTTATGGAGTATGACTCAGGAATCACGATGAGCGTATCGGGAAAGTCTTCAGGGTGTCTACTAATACAGGCTAGCCAAAAATCAGTACTTTTACAGTACTTTTTCAGAACATTCCCAAGAAATTCAGTACCTCCTTAACAGAAAAATTAATTACTTTTTCAACACCTTCAACTGACGAAATTCGAAAAAGTTTAAAAATTTGAATTTCCCGCTCAAGTTGCGACAAAAATGAAAAAAATTCCAGACTTTCTTGCAAAATTTCCGCACTTTTTTAGTACTTCCGGATCGCCCTTGAAAAATCAGTACTATTTCCGGACTTATAGACATTCTAGTCTTACATACACTCCTAACTTCACGATATGCGTATAAGAACTATGAATTTCTTTCAGCTCTCTACTTCAAAAATGATACTACGGCACAGGTGAACACTTTGTATGAGAAAGTTCAATCCAATCCTTGCTAACTAGGATGCTACACAATATTCAACATGGCTGACGCTTCCACGCACAAATCGTGAGAAACCATCATGGTCTATATCAACACAAGGAAAAGGTAAATTTAAACATGCCGGTTGATAAAATTGGCGTCGGCAATGTTTAATATTGCATAGCATACTAGTGCAAAAGGGTTGGGTGGAACGACTCCTCTCACAAAATTTTCAACAGTGTCGTGGTATCGTTTTTGAAGCGGGGAGCTTACAAAACGCGCATTTTTTACGCAGATTGTCAAGTTAGGAGTATCAGTGTAATTAGAGTTTCTTAACGCGCTCATAGTGATTTTTTAGCTTTGCTATTTTCTAAAAGAAATATTTCTGCTTTTTGCTTTAGCTAAAGTTTGCAACAGGCCCATTGGTTGGTGGCCCTGATTGATAGAAATCCGGAGTATTCGTTTTGAAAAAAAATGTTATGGGGCCCCGCAAACGGAACGAGAGCATAGCATTGCGTCAAAAGCGACATCCAAGTGGTTCTTGTTTCAAACTAGAGAGACGCCGACTCACTAAATCCAGTGCGCCTTCAATTTCAACATACGCAACACGGACAGCAGTAGATCACGAATAGTTGCATGTTGCATCCTAGCGATGTAACAAATCCACTAACCTATGCATGAAAGTCCGTCTGCAACGATACCGACTACAGGTGCTATTTTATCATATTTTAATGGTTCTTCAGCAGCAACAATATTTTTCCTCTTGAAAAGAAAAATTAAATGAGGAGTTTTAATAAAAGGTTCGATTTTTTCCTCGGAGCAAATTCATGCCTCCTTTGTGAGGAACACGTGGTGTTCTTCCTAAAACCAACTGCAAAGCTCAAAAAAACGCGTAAAGATGAAAGCGCAATGGAAAAAGTGATAGTAAGTGAGATGAAGTGAGTCATTACAGGATACACCTACATAAATTGATGTATTCTCCATAGGCGGATGGATCTGGGAACATTGAGAAAGTTGTCATTTATTAAATCAATCCGAGGGAAAATATGATCAGGTTGGCCTACTCTGCCGTGCTAAGGAAAAACGCCGTATGAACCTTCAGACGTTGCTAAATTTCCTTCGATTAAATACGAATTTTCACGAAAACTGGTAAATATTTTCTGTTTTTTTCAGATAATTTTCTTCGTCATTAGATCTAAATTATCAGGAAATTTCAAGAGTAAATATTCGTAACTCTCCTTGTTGATGAACATCATATTGGAGGAAATTTTGCAACCCTCGAATGTTCATACGGCGTTTTTTCTTAGCACGGCAGTACAGTCATGGCAACCTCTCATATATCGACGGTGAAATTACCAAACCACGTATCTCGGTTTGCGACGTCGCAGACTTCCTGTCATACTTTATTTTTTAAATGAAAAACTACTTAACGTCCAGTCTTGAAAATTTCTGTGATTTTTCCTCTTCGTGCGGAGAAAATTCCGTGAAAATTTCAAGGAATGATATTGATTTGGTCTACTTCAAGAAAATAAAATGTGAGCGTAGATTTTTAAACACCGCAAACGAGATACGTGGTTTGGTAGTTTCACCGTCGATATATTCTGTCCTATTTCTAAATAATAAAGAGTTTGAACGACGGAGAAGGCGGACTCTCTCATAGGTACTGCAAGAATGTTCTTCCTTTAAGACTTTAATGTTGAGAGCTTATTTTCAGGGAAAAAGTTGAACTCAGAGAAAAATCAGCGTGTTTCTTAGCAAATTTCACATAAGAATAGCTAGCTGACCCGAAAATCCCGCTGCCTGGAAGAACTCTTTTGCAAAAGGCAGTTTCAAGGGAAAAAATCGTTCGAGCTGGCAACGGTGGTTAAAAGCCGGGAAAGCGGTAAAAGTAGCGGGAGCAGATGAAAGAGATTGTTTTAAAGTGTGCCCACTGCGGTGACACAAGTATATTACATTAGAGGAGGACCTTTTGTTTTCTTTCTATCCTGTCTTTGTTTGCAGACCAAATAACTTACCTTCGTCGTCATACGTTGCGTTTTACTTTCCATCGGGACCTCCCTCACTATCTTCAACAGAGATATCAATCAGCGTTGCCAAACTTACATAGCTCAATCGAGGGGCTTGGAGGACAAGGCACATAAGTGCAGTTTCTATCATCTCGAGTTATATGTGTTTGAAGTTTTGAAATTACAAGAATCCTTGTGGCGGAAAAGGTTGAAACTGACTTTTTGATGCTTGAAAATTGGAATTTGGGAGCAAGTTTTTCATAGAATATGCTTTAAGACGTATTTTACTTAAAATCATTAATAACTCATTTTTTTCAAAAACTGCACTAGTACGCCTTGTCCTCCAAGCCCCCAAATAATCTATTCAGATTCTAATTCAATTTTAATTGAATGGTAGTGGATAATGCTGACAACGGTGAAACTACGACACTACATACCTAGGTGCCAATTTTTCTGGATGCGGAGACGTGACTATTTTCCTTCCACTGAAAATAAAATGTACGATTTGAGGTGCAGTGATGTGAGTATGGTAATCACCAAAAGACTATGTTTGCAAAAATACGGTAACTTTAACCGCATTCATTAAAAGCACGGTAAGTGCAATTAAGATGTCTGATTATCTTTAGCCTACAGTATCACTATGTGTCAAAAAGCATGTAGACTCATGATAGAATTTACCATAATTCCGGTAAAATTTGCCATATTTTTTGAAGCGTAACTCTATCCAAATAAAAGTTAATGTACATCACATATAAACGGCGTCAATTGTACTTTTGTCATTTTATCAATGTTAATTGCGTAAACACCATATTTTGTTCAGGAGTTAATTTCCAGATTTTCCATTTTTGATCCGTTCTCCTCGTAAAATTTTAAAGAGAAAACGCGTTCTCTCCATACGCCTGGGGACCATTCCTCATTCTAAAACTTTTCTAAAACCAAGGCAGAATTCCAGCGCAAAAATCGGTCCGTTCACAAACCGCGCCTAAACAAAAACCCCGCAGTCGGACTGTTGCACTCGCGCAAATAGGAGACGACAGAACAAGTGGATATAAATTGAACCGAATTACGGAACAATAAAATCGCGGAACGAAAAGAAGTACAACCGGGGGGGGGGGGCGATGGATTTCATCCGCGGTCGGCTGAATCCGCGGTGGCGCGGGCTAGGTGGCTTATTAGCTATACAAAGTGCAAACACACCCGCGCTGAAACAAAACCGCGCAAGTGTCGACGTGAACGGTGCGAGGATGCGCGGTTTTATATAGGGGTAGTGGAGCCGCTGTCGAAGAGGAATTAAGTTTATTCAGAACGACGGAGGGACGCCCGGAGGC